TGTCACCTTCGTTTGCTGGTGTCTCTCTGTCCTGCCTGGTTGTGCCTTGAAACACAAAGTCTTGGGCACATCCAGACTCCTGCTGGGTGATGTGTTGTCCCACAGCTCTTCCCCTCTGTTGAAATTTCTTTCTCAGGCTGCTCCTACACTCTCCGTGGTTTCCTCAGCACCGAGTCCAGGCCCATCAGCCTCTATGTACTGGCCATATCCTTGAGGCCTCTAAAGCTCATCTTTGGAGATGTCTCAGCACTCTCCAAGCTCTTTGCAGATGAAAGCATAGTGGTCATAGTCCAAGAGAGATGGAGTGAGACTTTGCATTGTCTGGACAGCTGGGGGAAGTAGTGATAAGGTGCAATAATGTTTTGTATATCAGAGGTGTGGAAGAAAAGAAAGAAAATGGAGAAATGAGAGAATAGGTGTTTTGGACATCTGGAAATTAACAATTTTTTTTCTTTTTTTGTTTTCCATAATTTTGCAATAAGGTGTTTACATTATTTTCCCCATTGTGTTTTCATATGTGGGACGTTAACACTTAAAAAGATCTCTGATCATTTATTGGTACAATAGTGGCAGAACAAGGGGTAACGCTTTTAAAGTGTGGATTCAGATTTAATAAAACAAGAAAATATATTATGACGAGCGTAACAAGAGACTGAAACAGGTTGCACAGACAAGTGGATGCCTCATCTCTGGAAGTATTTAAGGTCAGAAACTTGGAGCTACGTGAACTAGCGAGAGATGTCCCTGCCCATGGCCAGTGGGTTGGCCTAGATGCTCTTTTAGGTCCACCTAACCCGAATTATTTGTTGCATTAAAAGAAGGGGCACCAGTTGCTGTTGCGAACAAGAGGCAACAATTTCTTTTGCAAATACGAGGTGCCAATTTCAGTTGTGTTAAAAGAGGCAACGAGTGCTGTTGCAAACAGACTCCTATCAGTTTGGCAGAAGCTAAACCCCCTTGTGTTCCAGCTTCTTGTCAGATATCAGAGGGGCTGGGGGCAGCTAGGCTTAGGTTTTGAGTGATGCTCAATTCCACGTTACTATCCTAACATGCCCAATTACCTTTGATCTGACAGTGCTCCTGGAATACGCCTGCAGTCTGACAGCGTCCCTGGAATTATGGTACCAGCCTCCATAAGGGTGGCAATATCTTCGATCTGACAGCACTCCTGGAATTGTCAACAGGGATTCTCATGGCCAGATTTTAATCAACCTGGCATGATTTAGGGGTGACCTTGTAGTGTAGGATCAGTGGTTGGACTTGATGATCCCAAGGGTCTTTTCCAACCTGAATTGTTCTAGGATTCTATGATTCTATGATTCTTAAGGCAACAGATACACAGATCTGTTTTGATTGCCAGTGATGGTGACTGACTGCAAAGCACGTGCAAAATTACAGATGTAATAGATTATGAGCAGCTCTAGAAAAATTTCCTAAATATCCTGGGGCAGCACTTGGTGAGACCAAGTGTTCGAACCTTACCCAAAGGCATCGCTGTAGGGGGGAAGAGAGGCTCAGCCCGTTAACTAATCCCGAGAGTCAGAGGTGGTCTGAGGTAGTATCTTCCCTGACACCCCCTCTCTCTTGGGCCATTTTTATATCATTTGTTACCTTTCAGGTGGAGCTTGAGTGACTCTAATCATGCATATCTTTTTGGTGATATGGCTTTGCATTTAAAGATATAGACTAGAAAAATTCAATGTGCAAGCTCAGTGAGGGGTGGTCACACCTTGGAGGCGGGTAGCTTTTGGGATGGAGGTGTTTTTTGGTATTATGATGAGACTATAATCAGTATAGTTCAGCCAAAATATGACATCTATCTAAAGATGTCAGACACTTGGCACAGGGTAGTAAATGTGCAGACAACTGGTTCCTAACGTCACAGAGCTTGACCACGGTGTTTCCACAATGTTCCATGCTCTGTGGGATTTTCTCTTAGGGACAGAACAATCAAGCTTCCCTGATGCCACCGACCATTAAGTTTGTTTTGGATACCTTTGTGGGGAGAACTCCATATACACCAGCTGCACATTGTCCTGGAAACTTTCTTGGTTTTCCAATAGGTGAACAATGCTGTGTAGACAATTAAATAATTTTAAATATTTATCCCACATCAAATGCTGTGAGAATGGTTGGTTTTTGACCTAAGCACTCTGGTAATGTTTCAGCCAAGATGGTTGCCTTGCAGTTAGAACTAAGGTTTAGGCGAAAGTGCCTTAATCCCACAAAACACAGCAATGGTTCATATCAAAGCTCGGTAGAAACGCAAAACGCAATTGAAGGGCACCAAGATGAACTGTTGCTACTTCAGGAAGAATTAAAGATGAAGCATTGCTATTATAGGACCGATGTTAAATTCCCTAAGAGTAGGTGTAGACAGATCTGAGATAGCTCATGTCCTCTGTGCCCCAGCTTTCACCAGTAAGGTCTCCCAGGACTTGGTGCTGTGAGGCAGGACTCTGGATGGGAACGGTGACCAACC